CACCGCTGTGTTTGAATGGAGATGCGCAGCGGCTGAGCTGTGACTTTGTTTCAAGCTATTTTCGACGACGAAATAGAGCAAAATCAGACCATAGTGTTATAGTCAGACAATGTAAGTCACTTAATATTAACTTCTTGTCTATTTAACTGTTGTATTAAATCAGTATCACATTTACAAACTCCCTTAAAAATCATTAAAAGCTGTCACTTATCTTAGATCATCGCGAGCTCACATTTATAATCAACGAAGCTCTCTACACTGCGCAATGAATCTCTTATTTACACCCTGTCTACACTTTGCTTATGAAAGGATTCATGAGATATGTCTGTGATACATTACTCAACGCTGCAAAAACACGTAGAAACCTTTGAAGCTCCCCTCAGCGATCACAATCACAAGTATGATGATGATCTGGTCAGTCGCACTGGTGCTCCTAAATATGTTTTCATAGTCGCACGCAGTAGTTTTCAGTCGCAAATGCGACTGAAATGGTCGCACTGTAGAGCCCTGCTCTGCCATGTACTACTGTGCTCTGCAGCCCACAGTGACGGGAAACACAATTGCACTGTACACAAACTGAATGAGAAATATATTTATGGAAGATGATGATGCACAATGCATAGTTTAGAACTACATTCTAAACTGGACACTCAACTGCTACATGTTGGAATAAATTTTAAATGCATGTACAAGTGGTAGAGTGTCCTGATTCCCTTAAATATCAAGACTACCTTTGATATGAAAAGCAACTTAATGCTTGAATCATTTGACATCTGTTACAGTGCCACTGCAATTTTTGTATAATTTCATAAATCAGAGTGACAAAATGCCATTTTAGTGTAGACTACAGTTTATTCATATACTGACCGTACTTGTAGGGTGAGACGAGTAGGCACTGTGTGGGAGGAGCTCCATGTTTTGTCAACTTCAGCAGAAGAGCTCAAGAGGTTCCATCTCAGTTTAGTTCTTGACTCTCAAAGTCATTGTCTCTCATTAGTGCAGATGTTGCTCCTCACATTCATTATATTTTCTCTCCTAAAAGGTGAGTGATTTATAACAATTACTGTGGAAATGCTGTTTTTCTCCTTTTTATACTGTTGACAATCTGAATTAGTCAATTAGAAATTATTAATTAAAACACTGTTTTAAACAGAGAATGCTGGTGAAGATGTCATAAAACCAGTCTTCACAGAGAAGCAGGTTTTGGAAGGAAAAGATGTTACACTGATCTGCAACTACACTGAAGCTGTTCACAATTTACAGTGGTATCGTCAGTATCCCGGATCCAAACCTGAGCACCTCATTTTATTCTTTGAAACCAACCCTAAATCAGAGCCCGCTCTTCGTCTGACCGCTGCAGCTGATAAAGCAGCCAAAAGTATGAATTTGACAATCTCTTCAACAGAAGTGAAAGACTCTGCCGTGTACTACTGTGCCCTGCAGCCCACAGTGACAGGAAACACAACTACACTGTACAAAAACAGAGTGAGAAGTGAACTTCAAGATGAAAAACAAGATCCTCATTTTAAAAACGAATTATGTAACCATTAGAAAGAATTTGTGAACAATATACAGTAATAAAACTCTGGCACAAAAGTACTTAAACTAGATTATTTTAATAAAAATGAATTCCTATAATAAAGCAAGCTACCAGCTCTGAAAGTGTTGTACATAGTTATAAACATATACCAGAAAGATTACACAGTTTCAGTGCGTTCCAAACCCTATTTAAATACAAGACACATCATGTTTCTTCTAGATACAGAAAATGCTGTATTCTCAGCAGATGCAAACTTTACCAAGAAGAGACTATGCTGTGTTCCAATTCCCAGCATACCAAATGACATACTTGATACACCATATGCAGACTATTAAATGGAGAAGCTTTGTACCAAACTTTGCATAAAGGAAGAACAAAAAGAACCTCTGAAGTATGTGTAAAGCTATGAAAGTAATATATGAGAACAAGTGGGTGGAGCTAGCTGAGGAGAAAGTCGCTGCAAACAAAAGAACGGCACAATGCCTCCGAAGACAGAAAAGGGCTTTCAGTGATCTTGAGAAATCTTCACAAAAGCGATGTTGTTGCTCTGTCTGTTCATACTTTTCAATCACTTTGGTAAGGAATTCGCTTTAATTGGTTGTTGTTTTAGGGTAAAAAGAAAACGACTTCCTGTTTTTTATTTTAATATAAGTATTATGTGCTAAATATGTATGTATGTATGTATCGCTTTACAGGCAAAACTACAGGGTATGGAATCAGACCAGACAAAAACACCACAGTGTTAATGGAGGATACAAACATTACACTGTCATGCATATATGAAGGCTCAATAGACAGTTTGTACTGGTACCAACAAAAACCTGGATCAAGACCAGAGTTTCTAATAATGATTGATGAAGCTTCTCAATATGTGACAAAAGCCAATCCACCTTACCCACGTCTGTCAATCAAAGTTGATAAAGTACAGAAACGTGTTCATCTGGAAATCTCCTCTGCGGCAGTTATGGATTCCGCTATGCATTACTGTGCTTTGAGGCCCACAGTAACAGGAAACACACGTACACTGTACAAAAACCCTTTCTGTATCTAACAATTCAGAGTGACTGTGCATTTGAAATGTAAACAATGTGAAATGTGAACTGCTTTATTTATTTTGAGATGCTGTCTTCAGTCTTTTCAGTGTCTGTAAGTGTGCGATTTCTAAGATGCACTACTTTGGTGTCCAGATGGGATCTTCCGCATGGAAGAAGCATTTCATGGATGAATGAGAACAACAATACAACTAAAACTCAGCCACCACATCTTCAAATATTCACACTCTGGAAAGTCCTGCAGCCAATAGCCTATATCTGACAGCAGCTACAACAAGTGCACCAAAATATCCATCATTTTGGCGAGAGACAAAAACTTACACCCCTAGTCTTTCTGAAAAGAACCCTGAGGTTTTTACTAACCGCAAAGTGCATTTAGCGCAGAACCCACACTGACCACAGGATGAGCATCCTCTGGCTGATGGGCTCACTGACATAGGGTGAACAAACATCTTGGTTTTCGGGGACAGTCCCATTTTTGGTGTCCTGTCCCTGGGAATGTACCCATTTTACAGCACATACAAAACATCACACAAACACACTGCAAAAACCCTTACCAACATAGCCCACTGGTTAGCAGGCCTAATGTGTAGGGAATAGTTTCACTACTAGAAGGTGCTGAAAGCTGTATGGATTACTTTAACCAGGAAGAATTTAACCTGAATGAGAGCTGAATATTACAATCAATTACCAAAAGAGACAACGTTATTGGTGACATAAATTAAAGTAATACTCTTTGTATGTACTATATAAAAGGACCTGAACAGGGTGCAGGATTTTGTATACAGTTCCCGAATCCTTCCCGGAAAGGTAATTCCCAAACACGCATGACAATAGCACATGTGTGAAATATTAAGAAGATACAAACAAAAAATGTAATCAACTAAACAACAATACTTTCAACAATTATACACTTGCAGAAAGCATATATCTTTTGTGTTTAAAGTGAGCCTAAAATGCAAAATAATAAGCCTACATTCAGGAGAGTAAAGATACACTTTCTAAAGCACAAACATAAAATAACATTTGAAAAAAGTCATGAGTGAAAATACACATTCACACTTGAAAATTAAAACATTAACTAGAAAACGTTAGAAATATTTGTTAAATAGTTTTATTTATATCATAGTTCATTTTATTTTTGTAATGTGTTTTTGTAAAACCATAATTTTGTGACAACTTAATGCTGTTTTGTTCATTTTGCTTCTTATATTAATATATGCCATTTACAATAATTATATTAATAATAAATACAACATTTGATTAATAGATAATAACAAGTGACATTATCTGTTTACATTTCAGAAATCTAGCCAGTTTGCACTTACTTTTTCTATGAGGGCCTCAATCCAGCAGACTGTCCAGGCTAAACGCCATTTTCTTCAGTGGGTATATGCAGGTAAAAGTCCAAACACCTCTGGCCCATTTCCAGTTATCCAATCTTCCATAAACTTCCATGAAAAATAAAATGAATATAGACTGTGAAGAAAAAAACTTGTTCATGTTGTTCTTCTTCCCCCCGTTGCTCATATCAACTATGGTGTGCATAAAGGGACATTCTGCATGGCGTTTAAGAGCCGATCACTTGTCAATTAAAGATGGCAAAACTATTTATTTCACTGAAACAACGAATTTAATTTAAGTTGACGTCATTACACGCATTTAATAAATTAACCTACAGCTGTTGAGAGCGTATAGCATCTTCCAGGCGCCGACTGCAAAACTGAGGAGATCAGCTCCAGTTGATGAACTTTAGATGACACCGAGCTCACATCTCCATCTCTGTTGAAGATGAATATTTCGTCTTAAAATTAAAGCCAACAGCACCACCTTGCGTTCAGAATTCTTTGGTGCAAGGTTGTTTTTCATATTGCCAATAAACAAATTTTACTGTATATTCTGTTCTTTTAACAGAAATGTGGGATACATTGCAATCAGCACAATAATAGTGTAGTAATAATAATAATGTAATAATTAAACACACTGTTATTTGTATATAATGTAATAATATGTTTTTATGCTAAATTGACTGAGTGTAATTATTACAGTATACACAGTTTATTCTTTATTTTGTGTAATGTTTGAATATTTTATATAAGGGTCAAATTCAAAATACAAATTTCATATAATTTGTAACTGAATATTACATGTAATAGGCTACTATCACATTGCAAAATACCATGCATTTTGATAATATCACACATGTACAACAGTTGGCTGATGATCCTTTCAATATTCTTAATAGGTGCACAATAGGTGATTTCACAAAAGCCCAGAGTGTTTCTCTGAATTTGTTAAAATTACATTTTAAAAACTAAAAATTTATGTTTGAGGTATAAGTGTATGTGTAATTTATGTTGTAGAACAAAGTGTGATGTTAACTACTACAGACTTTATTTTACTCACAAATTAAAATCTGTTATTCTAAAATAAATCTATACATTTAAATGGGTTCATGTGTATCTACACTGTATATGTATATATACAATATAATGTATTATATATATCTATATACTGTGTATATATATATATATATATATATATATATATATATATATGTATGTGTGTTTGTATACAGACATGCATACATTATTTTTTTCCTCACTTTATTCTGGTTTTTCTACACTGTACAATTACAGATATAGAATGATTGATGTACTTATTGATGTACTTATGTATGTACCTATTCTACACAAATAAACAGCAACTCTGAACCAAAAAAAAAAAAAAACACAATCACCAAAAAGGGTAGTGAATAATAGTATAACAACATAATGATATTAAAATAAACAGTTAAATAAATAAAAAGTGTATGCAGACATACATACATTATGTAGGCTATAAATAAAAATACAAAAATAACACGTATAAGTATGTAATTTATGTGGATTAAAATGTGCAAGTCTGAAATTAAAAACTGAAATTAAAAACTTATTCTACATTTTTTTTTTCAAATTATTCAAATGAGTGCGTGTGTACTTTTATGTGTGTGTGTGTTATTTATTCTAAGATATACTGTACGCTAATACATAATTTTTTGTTTGTATACATACATACATACATAGTCTACATATGTAGGATATAAATAAAAATACAAAAATAACACTGCACGAAAATGGTGTTATAGGCACTGTTAAAGCTGTATAAAAACCAACAGAATGTTTTTTAGTATGCGAGAATGAAAGAACAAAAGAATTTGTGTTATATGATCAAAACTCTGGTGATCAAAACAATGCTAATCATAAAAAGCAGCAAACCATTGCATATTACAATCAGTAAATTGTGTTATATTAAATAACAGTAAGAATACATGAGAACATGAAGTATTTTCACACAATGCCAATATCAATTGTAAGCCCAAGCAAGTCGTTCAGGAAAACCAAATGGTACAATGGCGTCATCTAGTGTTAATTTTAAGCAGTACATGTAGTTTTAAGCACAGAACTGCAGATTATAATGATGACAATAGATGGCAGTATGTACTTAGTTTTGGTTGGGAGGATTCTCTTGCTGTAGGCCCTCTGTTGGAGACTTCTGGCACTGTCTTCACATCAGGAGTCCTGCAGATTTGCAGAGGAATTAGTCCAAACCACTGACGCCTGATGGCAGTTTAGAGGTCTGGTGATCTGTAAAAGGCTTCATGAATGTGTTTTGCACATGAATGCGCATGCACATATGGAATATCATGAAATGCTGATGCATAAAGTCCTTTTACATACTAATGATTCAATATAGATACAAACAAAATCTATAAAAAAGACTATTATTTTTGTACAAAATACGTTGTGAAATGCAATGCAAAATGGGAATAAATAAATCATTATTTTAAAACCGTAACACAATTTGTTTTTTATTCACACTTCTACATGTGTATGTCATATACTGGTACTTATTTTACAAAAATGAGCAAAATGTTTATCATGAATCATACTTTCAAGGAAAGCATAAAAGTTAAGCATCGGAAAAAAATCATTCCCAGAAACGATAAATCACTCTTTCTGTTTTGCAGTGTCTTTTATATGTGAGGTACATATGTTGTACTTTTATGACTAATCACACCCTCTGTTTCAGTATTAATAATGTTTATGGAAAGTACAAAGATTATATACAGTAGATACAACAGTGCAAAAACCCTAATCAAAGAGGAAGTGCATATTTTAACTAAATTATTGTAGGTAAAATAGGCCTACATGATGACAGATTATAAGGTTCATATTATAGACCAAAGTCATGCATGTTCTACATTTCTCCTTCTCTGCAAGCTGCAAAATGTGCAAAATGTGCATGCATCAGTCTTCCTGTCCTCATTTCTGTCACCCACCCACACACACATGCGCAAACACACACATCCTGTCTTGCTTGCCTCGCAGAAGAGAAAAAACAACCACAGACGTATGTGACGTAGGCAGGAAGTTAGGCATTATGTCTTATTTCTGCACAGCGCCCACTTCCTGTGGAAAATAATACACTAACCCCATTGATTCAAATCATCCTGCTTACCTACTTTCAAAATGATGCCAGTGGTTAGCTTTAGTTAGCTTAACTATAATTATGATGAAACTGTTTTTTATCACTTTTATTTATATATAATTTATAGCTTGGGTTCTTGCATTACAGCACCATCTTCATGAAAAAAAAATATGTTTGTGCATGCAGTAAAATAATCATGATGTGAACTGCACAATGAAAACAACATTATATATCAACTGCTGCAGTTTTAAACAGTTCATTGCAGTCCTTTGAAAAAAGCTTCAAGTAATGACATTTATACATTTCATCATACATTTCATGCATTCCATATTGCAATAAGTTTCTGGAAGCATTCAGGTCAAAACACCTGAATATGATTGTCAAAGACACATCTAAGAATAAACTATACCTTTTTGAAAGGCCTATTCAAAACTGTCATATTTTTTATGATGTTTTACAACAGTTAGGGGTAGATAGTATCAGGACGCAAAGTTTTATTTTGTGTCTCTCTGTAAGTTTTGGAAAAATAGTGTGAAATTTTTCCATGTGGTTGTTCACCAATTGCATATTTTTTTCTTTTTGCACAATGCTCTTTTCGCTTATATCATTCGGGTTGCTGGAATCCACCTACTGTACTTTTATTTTACATGATTTCTAGCCTGGGTTCTCACATTACTACAGCACCATGAAAAATGACCACATACATG